ATATCATTTTTGTCTACTTCCAAGGTCACAATCCAAATACTATCCAAGGTCACAATTAATATTACCATTATTTAAATAATACAAAAATAAAAAATAAAAAAATTCACGGTTCATCATATTCAAAATAAAATTTATCGTTATTTGAATAATATAAGAAAACCAGCGCGTCATCCTTTTATTTTATATAAGATTTTACGAGGTATGTATTATGTTCTAAAATTCTACGTTAATAAAGAAGATTAAGATTAAGGTAGAGATGAAGGAGTGATTAGTGGGGAACCTAATGATTAAAGGAATAAGTTGGCAGAGTTAACTTGAACCCTTTACCGCGTAGGAAAGTTCCTAATAATGCTTATTAATTATCTTTAGTTTAACCTTTTTACTGTTACTTAATCATGTCTCTTCACTTTGTCCATTCAATAATTTACAAAAAAAATAAAAAAAATGAAAAATGAAAAAAAAAAAACAATTTCTTAAAGAAAAATTTCCAAAGTTTATTAAATACCCCAACATATAGTAAGTGTGTTTGCAAAGATATTATCCGCTTTAGGCCGTAGAATTAGTACAGTTTTGTCCCTTTGGGAGGTGAGGATGTCCTTAGACTATATAAATGATAAAGTCCCTCGTCTCCTAATCGATGTGAGACTTTGACATCAATGATTATTAGTATTATTGATGCTTGACTTTGACACCAACTAATTGCACGTGAAAAATGCTGAGCTGACTCAAAAGATACACGTGTATATGGGGGGTATTTGATTAAAGAGTGAAGAAAAATGTTTAAAGTAGTTCGGATGCTTAAATAAGCAAATCCTACGTCCACTAGTATTGTATTAATATATAAGATCAGGTCGCGTTCAGCGAGCCGATTTATAGCTTAGTGAATACAAGTGAATACACGAGAGAGAGAGAGAGAGAGAGAGAGAGAGAGAGAGAGAGAGAGAGAGAGAGAGAGAGAGAATGTATGTTATTTTAGAGAAAAATTAGCTAATCCCACAAACAGGAGAGGAGCCCCCTATTTATAGTGGGATTGATTGAGGTAATGATTACTGAATTTGTGAGTGAGTCAGATTGCTGTGCAAATCTTTATTTGTGTCCCGTTGCTCACCTGCTCGAGTGATTTCCTCGACTTGTGCAGGGATTGGACACGTGGAACAATTTCAGCCTTTCGTCATTCTGGCACATACCCACTGCACTGGCAGGAGCATGCCGCTCACGTCATCATGCGACATGACTGTGTCTGAACGGCTACAGAACCTACCTAAGCTCTGATCGTCCACGCTGACAAAGCTTGGCGTCAATCTTACTTTTTCAGGTATAACAAGTATTATATGCTTTCTCACGATCTTACTAACCATCTTACTAACGTGTGTAAATATAACACATAGTACAGGTACCATAAACATAGTATGGGTACTATATATAATTTTAATAAAGGTGAATAAGATGGTTAGTAAGTTCGTGAGTAAGCATAGCATTACTCTTATTATTATTATAAAAATTCTTCAAGAAGTTAGTAGAAATGAGAGAGAATGGATGAATTTGGGTTTATCCTAATCTTTTATAAAAGCATATATTTAAGATTTATATAGAATTAATTAAAAGCATTGTGTTTAGGTATTTTTGTGTCACTTCCTAGGCTTTAGAATCTGATCTGTTTAAGGCGTAAACAAGCATCTAAAAGCATGCTTTTTGGCCCACAAATTATTTTTATTTTAATGGTAACTTTGATTGACATCTAATGGGACAGAAATGATTACGTGATATATTTATATATATTAATTAATTACTAATTAATTATAATAATTGCATTGTATTTATGCCGTTACATTTAAATAATTAAAGAATTTTAATGGATAATTATTAACGTCGGACATTCTACTTTTATTTGCTTCTCTTCATCCAAAGTCCCGCACCATCTCTATTCATCAATTCCAATGCAGCAACTCAACAATTTTTAAAATAAAAAGTAAAATATAAAAAACAGCTTAGCGTGAGGCCAAATGGCAAGACCTTATTATAAGGTTTTAGTATTCAAGTTTCACCAACTTGTTACTTATGACTTATTTTGTCAAATTAGGTTTATAGGCTATTAATTAGACCTTCGAGGTTAGTTGAGTTCGTATAAATCTATCACATTTATGACTTTTCTAACTTAATTAGGTTTATAAGGGTCTCAATAGATCTCGGAGATTTGTTGTATATAAACTGACCTACCTAGATACCCTGATTAATATTATAGGATGTTCAATAGATCTCGAGGATTAATTAAGGTTGCTATATACAAGTTGACCATAATACCCTGATCAATATTATAGAGTGTTTCAAAGGATCCTGAAGATTAGTTGAGGTGTTGTATGCAAGCTGACCCAAACACCCTGGTCAATAGAAAAATTAATTATATAGTAAGATGTAAACTCAATAGATTGAATAAAACCCATGTCTTATTATTATGATAGTAGGTCAAAATTTCATAAAATAAGGTATGAAGCAAGTGGCAAAATTTGGGCAGCTTTAATCAATACTAGCATGACTATATTGTAATCAACACATTACAAAAAATTTGATTGTATGGGTCCAAAGATTACGATTTATTATTACATACCTTCAATTGCATATAATTTACTCTCAAGTGCACAGTTGACTTTCTATTCAATATCATTTTTGTCTACTTCCAAGGTCACAATCCAAATACTATCCAAGGTCACAATTAATATTACCATTATTTAAATAATACAAAAATAAAAAATAAAAAAATTCACGGTTCATCATATTCAAAATAAAATTTATCGTTATTTGAATAATATAAGAAAACCAGCGCGTCATCCTTTTATTTTATATAAGATTTTACGAGGTATGTATAATCAACGGAATTAGGTTAAAAGATGAATTTTGTAATGTATATTAGCTCTCAAAGGTGAGCAAAGAGTAAAGAGGGAACTCATATTATTTAATATGAAAAAGAAATTTAAAATACATTAATTTTTGTTTTACAATTATTAGTGTTCTTCTTGAGGTGATCACATCAATTCAAATCTGCTACATTTTATTGCTATCAGTATCACACCATATATCATAATCGAAACCATGACCTAACCCACAAATGAAAATTGACTTCTTCCACACCCAAATTGAACAAACATGAACAAGATTTTGACTTGATAAATTTTATAGCACCAATTTAGTTAGCTGATATCTTACTCTTCTCCAAAATTCAACTATGGCCTAATTGTTGCACCAAAAATAAGAAAACGTCACATCATATTCAACGATTTTCATAAAAACAAAATCCATTAAATTTTATATATGCTCTATACGCTCTACTCCACCATCAAGATATTGTTTGCTTTAGATTACACTCACACAGTGTTTTGCTTTTGATAACGAGTCCGGATGTTACATATGGTCAGATGGCCTTCAAAGTTATTTCTTGCACTACAATGCTAAAAATTTGAAGTGTTATTATCTAAAATATTGTCAGTTTATGGGAAAATATGGTGAACAAATTTTCAAGTGATGGTGATGAGTTAGGCCTGATGGCAAATTCTACAGTATCTGTATGCTTGTTCATTTGTCTTTTTATGATGAGTTTCTATCATCTACCGACTCTTTCATGGAAAAATGAAGACTTGAAATATCAGGCTCATTTCTGCCATTAATGGTAAAAATCCCTTCAGAAATGGTTGAAGGGGTAATGAATTTTAGATGCTCATTTGATGTAACCTGTTAAAGTTCGGCATACCAGAACATCCAACAGAATGTACAGCTTAATTTGGACCCAAACTTTGACATCTCACTTGTCTAACTTTAGAGTTGAGCCAACCAGCCCAATGAAACAAAAAAATATTTCTATTTATACCTTCAAAAATGGTAGTATTGGTAGAGACATAAACTCTTCACACAATAGAAGTTTTTTTTATGAGAAGTAAGCACAAGAAAAGGATAGGGAAGAATACAAAAGAAGTATAGGATCCAAGTAAGAGATCCTGAGTTCAAATCCTCCTCAATTACTAATATGGGCAGCCATTGGAACTCTTACCCGATCGGTAGTTCTAAAACCCCGAAAAATTAGTTGAAGTGCGTGTAAGATGGTCCGGATACCTCCGATCATAAAATAGAAAAAAAAAAAAAAAAGTATGGATTAGAGTAATGCAAAGCAAAGTGAGGTGTTTGAGACAAGTCTTGGTGGGTAGTCATAAAAATGGCTTTATGGGACAAGTCTTGTAACAACTTTAATCCATTTCGGAATTCCGTAAAAAATGATGATTCTAAGCAACATGTTAGGTCTTATCTTACTAGTAATAATGGAAGTTGAGATTGCAAAAGGAAGAAAAGCTATTTGTATTCTATACTTCCTTGTGATAATCGTCTTTATCCACGTTCGTGTCTATCTTGTGTCCTGTAACCAAAAGGAGAAAGTCTTCTCTGCATTCGTTGCACATAAAACCAACTCGTTATGAAGCAAGTGTATGTAGTCAAAAGAGTAAAAATATAATTTCAATCCAGAAAAGAACACCAATAGAAGTTTTGCTTGTCCTGAAGATTCCTCTTTATGTTAGGTCTTTGGTCTGTGATTCAGAAAAGAGTTCCTTATATGACGCCTCTCAACAATTTCATCAAACACTTGGTGTGTGTCACTTAGTCCGAAGGGAAACAATCAGGCCGTAACACCTAGAATTCAAAATCACTCCAACCAAATCAGTGAACTGTTGTATCCAGATTTGGTATAAACCATCAGCTTTATTCGCCAATTTTCTAATGGTTTTATGCAATCAAAATATTGTGGCCAACAGACACACAGAATTCCACTAGAAATTGTGTGCAGAAAGGCAGAAAATAACTGGGTGGATTGACTGGATTCCACCAACATATTTGATATACTCAAATAATTTACTCATTCACTCAATAGAAAGATTCAATTGGTTATTCTAAGTAATCATTGAGCACAGAGAAATTTCAAACCCACAAAGGAACAAGCGATTCTTGAAGATAATACAGCATGATCAAATCTTGTACAACTATCTTATTCAATAAAAGACAAGGCACGATTAACAAGCGGCTGTTAAAAGAGAGGAGAAAGATCCATATCCTCCTTTATCAAGACATTGTCCAAATCTTATCAGTTTGTAATACTGTCATAAAGGTAATAGAACAGATATTCTTCTCTAATTATAGCTACAATTTTGAAATTTTACAAGTTATAACCAAATACGCGAAAAAAAGAAAAAAAGAAAAAAAAAAGGGGAATGCTAGTTGAATTTACAGAATGAATACGGCTGCTATAGCCAACAACGCAATCTATATTTGACAAACTGTAAAAGGACAGTGAAAAACCCACATATCCCTAGCACCATAAAAGTATAGGAGGTTCAGTATTCAATCAAGCCACAAAAAATATGAAGACCATCAGGAAAAATATTATGACTGCAAAGATCTTGATTAAAAGCCATCTATTTGATGAAATTTGATTAAGATGCCTCAGTAAAGCACTTCGAGCACCTTCAACATTTGCCAATGATTCGTCCATGTTATCATCAATCCTGATCAGAGAAGTCAAAGAGATTCAACTCTAACAAGTTCAAAGTTGATGTGATATTAGAAAAATCAAGAAATGAAAAAATCAAAATGCAATGCCATAGTTTAAGCTTCTTTTCAGAAATGAATGTCAGATTGACAAAAGCTTTTCACATGTAAAGACAAACATGCAAATATCAAATACTTAAGCAAAATGACCAGACCTGATTGCCAGTTCCCCTTGCTGTGCAACCATTGTGGCCAAATGTGTAAAGATCCCACCGAGCTCTGTAATTGTGGATTCAACATTTTGAAGAGCAACAGCCCTACCTTGTGCATAATTTTCTTGCCGTGGAACTACCTGCTGTAACATTGACATTTCCATGTGGTTTGAGGGAGTGTTTTCCACAGCTGGCCTTCGCCTGTTTGCCAAGAGTAACACAAGCTGTTATATATAGCATCAAAACACATCTACAAATTGTTACCAAAAAGCAACGAGCATCATCTTTCAGCAACCAGGTCCACAAAAGGGCAAAAAGGAAATGCCTACAGACTAAAAATGTATCAAAGCAATAAAAAACTGCTAGCTAAGATAAAAACAAACCTCAGTTGGCTGCCTACTTGAGCTCCAGTTGACGGTGATCTGATTAAAGGGAGAAAAAGAGAAACAAATCATATAACAACTGAAGCAAGCTAGCGTTCTGTAAATAACAAACATAGGAGTACCCACATAGCATAGGCTATAACACCATTAAGAATTTTAAGGAATACTACTACAGGACAGTTTTACAAGAAAACTCCACATACACATGGGTTTATCAAGTACAAAAAAGAACAGTGGTGCTATTTGCTTCAACTACAATTTCCTTATGACCAGGAGGCAGGGCATCATTGTCTATGTTATATATGAAGCTATACAAAAATATCTGTTTAGTGAAAATTCTTGATGGCATTTGAAGTCTCCCCAAGTATTTTAGTTTTTTAATTTTTTAGCAAACAGAACTGTATCAAACAGGAGATAGACAAAAAGTTTCAAAAATGGTGAAAAAGCAGTCCAACCATCAGCAGCGAAAATACAAAAAGAAAAAACAAAATGAGAGTCTTCCCTAGTGATTAGACTATGTCTCAACCTTGTTGTGCACGGTACTTTAAATTGACTCATTATAAACAAAAAATACAAACAGTCCAGAAGAGTGTGAAAGTAAAGCCTTATACTTTCGTTATCAATAAATCAAAATTAATAAAGACTAATAGCTAAGATCAATGTAAATTACTAAATTCATAATACAGTTACTGTTATTTGAATAACTAGGATTCATGAAATAGTTACCTACTGACTACTGTTAACAATCAATCTTTAGTAATTGAAAATAAATATGAATCATATTAATAAGAAAATTAAAACTCATTATTCTACCAGAAATAAGAATGCCAATGCTCCAAAAGTAATGCATGCACAGTGGCCAGAAATGAAAGAGCATTTTACATTTATATTTCTTCTGGATCTAGGTAATTTTGTTTATCTTAGTTTACAAAAATCATATTGTTTGTATGAGAAGTTGAAAAGGAGATTAAGGTATATGATCACTGAAATTCCAAGGAAATACTTACGCTGACGGTTGTGAATTCTCAAATGCATTTCCTGAACTCAACCATGGAGGTGGCTCAGTCACAGTTTTTGTTTGTCTGAACGGGCTTTCTCTTGATGCATTAGTGGAAAATATTTGCCTCCTATTTTCATGAGCCTTGATATTCTGCAAGGAAAACACCGTAAAACATAAGCAAAGACCAAAATAATGAACAAACATTAAACTCTATCAAGAAAAAACCTCAGTTCTTGCTGTTAAAACTTGTTGAAGCTCTTTAGTGGCACCCATGAGCTTGCTTTTCAAGTCATCACAAACAGTCGTCGAATGCACAACCCTGTCCTCAGAAAACTTTCTATCCGCAATCTCAATGTTTTGAAGGGTTTGCAAATCTGAAACAGCCATATTCAGAGCCGTAATATCATTCTTTATCAAAGTAGTCAACTCCTGTATCTCCACAAGTGGATCATCGAACATGGATGACCTTTTTGCCACTACATTAAAGCAAAGTCTACCATCAGCATAACATCAAACAAAAGGCTTGTTTAAGAGACCATTTTCTACCATCAAATTAGTTTTCACAAAGCACTTTTACGTCCATTTTAAATCGTTTGGCTGAGATACAGTAATCATAAACGCGTTTAAAATAAAAAATTATACACTCTCTCAATCAGAAAACCACTTAAAAGTGAATTCTACAGAAGCACTTCATACTAGCTTAATAAACTAAAATGAGCAACTAAAATGTTCTTTTCTACGGTTACTTCTAAATGAATAAACAAATTTTCTCCTAAACACTATCCAAACACCTCCCAAATACTCTCAAGTCTCAAATCATAAATCTTCAATAGCTTTAATAACTAAATACATTCTAATCCAAATAAAGAAAAAAGAAAAGGTATAAGCTAATCAAAAGTGGCTTACGTTTGGCAAGTCTTGCGATTTTTTGGGACGTTTCCTGGATGCCCAGCCCGATCAGTGAAGCCTTTTTGTTGAATTCAGATCTAGAAGAATGTGGGACCGGTGATTTTGATGGGGAGAGTACGTTATCAGATGGATTAACGGCTGCAACTCCGCCAATCTTTTTCAGTGTTTGCGACATAAATTGGAACTCGGCCGTCCGATCTCTGTATTGGGAGGCCATCAAGGGAATGGCGTTTGATCGGACGGTGGAAGATCGGAGTCGGAGCTGGAGTTCGTTGTTTGGAGAAATGATACTATGAAGTACCGTTTGTTGGCGGGGACGGGGCTTTTGGATCTCAAACGAACCTTATTTAACCCGCTTTTTTTTTTTTTTTTTACTCATATATTTATTTTTTATTTTTGGTAAAAAAAATAATAATAATACTACTCTTACAAACATTTTTCACTACTCTCTCTCTCTCTCTCTCTCTCTCAAACGCCTGATGTGTCATTAAGTTGGCTTTACACTTTAAGTTACGAACTTTGATTAAACATTAATAATCGTTACTTAGGAATGAATGACTATTCATTCATAAGAAACGGTCATTCTATTCATAAAGAATGATTGTTCTCATAAAAAATGACTATTCCATAAGATAGAACGAGTATTTCGTCTTATGAAACAAGTGTTTCATATGGAATCCCCGTTCTATGAAATATAATGTGGGTTTCATAAGATGGAACACTTATGGAATGGGGATGACCATCCCACCATTGGAATGGTGGTTTAAGGAACGACGGTCCTATTTCATAATAGTCGATTTCTATGAAGGAATGAAATCATTTTGCGTTCCGGAGGTAGCTGTCAACTTAGTGCCACGTGTTACTCAAAAAAAAATTTAGAATATTTATTTTACAATTTTATCCTCTATTAGGAGCTGGGCTATTTAGAAAACATATAGTCATATATGATATACGATAACATCTCTTCCTGGTTTTCCCAGCCCAACTAACCAATTCAACAGCCCACCTCTGGCCCATTACGAATAAACACTCCCAAGCGTCCGATCCTCCAACCAAAACGAAACACTAACCGTCCGATTTAGGTCTCCTCGAAAAACCCTAATCTCCTCTCTTACCAGTATATAAACACATTGACGCCACACTACCCTAGTTTAAAACCCTCAACAGCCTCCCATTTCCAAGGTATTACACAAATCTACGTCAATAGCGAGGTTAAAGAGACGGCACTGTTCCGCTGTCCGCCTTGACAGAGCCCTAGCGTCGTCTTGGCCCTCATTTTTGCTTATTTAGTTAGAAAGTTAAAGCTTAGAAACAGAACAAGATACAATGGTGGTGAAAGCATCCAAGGCCGAGAAGAAGATCGCTTATGACGCCAAGCTATGCCAGTTGTTGGATGAGTACCACCAGATCCTGGTGGTCGCCGCCGACAACGTGGGGTCCCAACAGCTCCAGAACATCAGGAAGGGTCTACGCGGCGACTCTATTGTGCTTATGGGAAAGAACACCATGATGAAACGCTCAATCAGAATTCACTCTGAGAACACCGGTAACGAGGCCTTCCTCAACTTGATTCCACTCCTTCAGGTAAATTTTGTTTTCATTCTGTTGTGTTTTGTTTCTGTTTCTGTTGCTTTGGTTTTTGATTTTTTGGATAAGAGTTTTATGATGCTTTTGTGAATCAGGGTAATGTGGGGTTGATTTTCACCAAGGGTGATTTGAAGGAAGTGAGGGAGGAGGTGGCCAAGTACAAGGTACAGTTATCTATATGCTGTCCTTTCAGTTGTTCGCTATTTTATGTATATAATTTGTTCAAAGTTGTACGCATTCCTAACTTAATTTATTTTGTATTTAAGAAGAGAACATTGTATGTTTACTGAGTATGTATTCATTTTGATATGAAGATTAGAGTTGATATCACTTGTTTTTATAATATCTCACGTTATCCTACATGTAAATGATGGTCTTGATTAGCAAGTGGGATTTTATGCTGTTTCAATGAGTGTTTTTATCATTTTTCTTAAATTTTGTTACAAGCTACATGTTTTTGCGTGGTAATTGATAACGTGTAAAAAGTTGAATTCTTGCATTCATTTTGTTTCTCAGAGGATGATATTTTTCAAGGCTGGATTGATTTTTAATTTAATGATCTTTCCAGCTGTGCTTCACAATGTTAGATGTTCATGTCTATAGAATAGCTCGTTAACAACGATCTTCATATGTGATAGGTCGGAGCTCCTGCTCGTGTTGGTTTGGTTGCCCCAATAGATGTTGTTGTTCCACCTGGCAACACTGGGCTCGACCCATCTCAGACCTCTTTCTTCCAGGTATGTGATTTCAGTACGTAGAATCATTGGTGTTGTGTTGTTTTGCTAGTGTGATATCTTACAGTTATAATTCGGTAACAGGTCCTTAATATTCCCACCAAGATTAACAAGGGTACTGTCGAAATTATCACCCCTGTGGAGCTTATCAAGAAGGGTGACAAGGTGGGATCTTCTGAGGCTGCTTTGCTGGCAAAGCTTGGGATTAGGCCCTTCTCATATGGTCTCGTTGTACAGTCTGTCTATGACAATGGGTCTGTCTTCAGCCCAGAGGTGCTTGACCTGACTGAGGATGACCTTGTTGTGAAGTTTGCTACTGGTGTCTCAATGATTGCCTCTTTGTCACTGGCCATCTCTTACCCAACTGTAGCTGCTGCACCACACATGTTCATCAATGCCTACAAGAATGTGCTCGCTGTGGCAGTTGCAACTGAGTATTCCTTCCCTCAGGCTGACAAAGTGAAGGAGTTCCTCAAGGTTTGTGCAACATAATTTCTTTGGTGGAATTTACCCCTTGTACTTCATAGTTCTTTGAATTCTTTTGTTCTTTGTTCTTTGTGCATCCCTTAAACTGTTTGTATATTAAAATGCAGGATCCTAGCAAGTTTGCTGTTGCTGCTGCACCAGTTGCTGCAGCTGGCGGTGCTGCTCCAGCTGCTGCTGCCAAGGAGGAAGAGAAGAAGGAAGAGCCCGCAGAAGAGTCTGATGATGACATGGGCTTCAGTTTGTTCGACTAAGCACACTCTCTTCGTTATGCTAAAGTCTAGGATGATGACATCTATGATTACGTTTTTGGATTTTTTACTATAGTTTTTTTGTTATGTCTTTCTTGACTCAGCTTTTTGTTTTCTGAAGATTAATCGGTTTTATATATTGTGTTTGTTTAGGCAGATATACCTTCTTCTTTTCTTTTGTTGCGCAACTGGTTTGTGGAGTATTTAGGGATCATCTGTAGTTTAGATCTTTGCACATAAGGGGCCTTCGATTTTAGACTACTAAATTTTATGCTGGTAACGCTAGTAGGTAAGAACNCATCTCTTCCTGGTTTTCCCAGCCCAACTAACCAATTCAACAGCCCACCTCTGGCCCATTACGAATAAACACTCCCAAGCGTCCGATCCTCCAACCAAAACGAAACACTAACCGTCCGATTTAGGTCTCCGCGAAAAACCCTAATCTCCTCTCTTCCCAGTATATAAACACATTGACACCAAACTACCCTAGTTTAAAACCCTCAACAGCCTCCCATTACCAAGGTATTACACAAATCTACGTCAATAGCGAGGTTAAAGAGACGGCACTGTTCCGCTGTCCGCCTTGATAGAGCGCTAGCGTCGTCTTGGCCCTCATTTTTGCTTATTTAGTTAGGAAGTTAAAACTTAGAAACAGAACAAGATACAATGGTGGTGAAAGCATCCAAGGCCGAGAAGAAGATCGCTTATGACGCCAAGCTCTGCCAGTTGTTGGATGAGTACCACCAGATCCTGGTGGTCGCCGCCGACAACGTGGGGTCCCAACAGCTCCAGAACATCAGGAAGGGTCTACGCGGCGACTCTATTGTGCTTATGGGAAAGAACACCATGATGAAACGCTCAATCAGAATTCACTCTGAGAACACCGGTAACGAGGCCTTCCTCAACTTGATTCCACTCCTTCAGGTAAATTTTGTTTTCATTCTGTTGTGTTTTGTTTCTGTTTCTGTTGCTTTGGTTTTTGATTTTTTGGATAAGAGTTTTATGATGGTTTTGTGAATCAGGGTAATGTGGGGTTGATTTTCACCAAGGGTGATTTGAAGGAAGTGAGGGAGGAGGTGGCCAAGTACAAGGTACAGTTATTTATATGCTGTCCTTTCAGTTGTTCGCTATTTTATGTATATAATTTGTTCAAAGTTGTACGCATTCCTAACTTAATTTATTTAGTATTTAAGAAGAGAACATTGTAGGTTTACCGAGTATGTATTCATTTTGACATGAAGATTAGAGTTGATATCACTTGTTTTTATAATATCTCACGTTATCCTACATGTAAAAGATGGTCTTGATTAGCAAGTGGGATTTTATGCTGTTTCAATGAGTGTTTTTATCATTTTTCTTAAATTTTGTTACAAGCTACATGTTTTTGCGTGGTAATTGATAACGTGTAAAAAGTTGAATTCTTGCATTCATTTTGTTTCTCAGAGGATGATATTTTTCAAGGCTGGATTGATTTTTAATTTAATGATCTTTCCAGCTGTGCTTCACAATGTTTGATGTTCATGTCTATAGAATAGCTCGTTAACAACGATCTTCATATGTGATAGGTCGGAGCTCCTGCTCGTGTTGGTTTGGTTGCCCCAATAGATGTTGTTGTTCCACCTGGCAACACTGGGCTCGACCCATCTCAGACCTCTTTCTTCCAGGTATGTGATTTCAGTACGTAGAATCATTGGTGTTGTGTTGTTTTGCTAGTTTGATATCTTACAGTTATAATTCGGTAACAGGTCCTTAATATTCCCACCAAGATTAACAAGGGTACTGTCGAAATTATCACGCCTGTGGAACTTATCAAGAAGGGTGACAAGGTGGGATCTTCTGAGGCTGCTTTGCTGGCAAAGCTTGGGATTAGGCCCTTCTCATATGGTCTCGTTGTACAGTCTGTCTATGACAATGGGTCTGTCTTCAGCCCAGAGGTGCTTGACCTGACTGAGGATGACCTTGTTGTGAAGTTTGCTACTGGTGTCTCAATGTTTGCCTCTTTGTCACTGGCCATCTCTTACCCAACTGTAGCTGCTGCACCACACATGTTCATCAATGCCTACAAGAATGTGCTTGCTGTGGCAGTTGCAACTGAGTATTCCTTCCCTCAGGCTGACAAAGTGAAGGAGTTCCTCGAGGTTTGTGCAACATAATTTCTTTGGTGGAATTTACCCCTTGTACTTCATAGTTCTTTGAATTCTTTTGTTCTTTGTTCTTTGTGCATCCCTTAAACTGTTTGTATTTTAAAATGCAGGATCCTAGCAAGTTTGCTGTTGCTGCTGCACCAGTTGCTGCCGCTGGCGGTGCTGCTCCAGCTGCTGCTGCCAAGGAGGAAGAGAAGAAGGAAGAGCCCGCAGAAGAGTCTGATGATGACATGGGCTTCAGTTTGTTCGACTAAGCACACTCTCTTCGTTATGCTAAAGTCTAGGATGATGACATCTATGATTACGTTTTTGGATTTTTTACTATAGTTTTTTTGTTATGTCTTTCTTGACTCAGCTTTTTGTTTTCTGAAGATTAATCGGTTTTATATATTGTGTTTGTTTAGGCAGATATATCTTCTTCTTTTCTTTTGTTGCGCAACTGGTTGTGGAGTATTTAGGATCATATGTAGTTTAGATCTTTGCACATAAGGGGCCTTCGATTTTAGACTACTAAATTTTATGCTGGTAACGCTAGTAGGTAAGGAACTAAAATTCGAATTTTGATTACATTCAAAATTGTTGTTTGATACTCTGGTGAACGTGTCATTATTGGGATCTTGCATTTCTTGAGACGAAATTTTATAGATATCTGGTAGAGCACAAAAAGCTGACTAGTGTTTGCGAGTAATTACTATTTAGTAATATTTTAAAAACTCAATATCGGAACCCTCGAGTTTCATGAGTTTCATTCATTTGTGTAAATTTATCCAAGCTCTGCTGCATCTCAGGCGTAAGGTGCTTCTTCCAATTCCCAAGTCCCAACAAACTCCCACCCTAAAAAAGTTCTTGTTGGGTATTTTCTAATGGTTATGGAGCACAGTTCCATTTGTATTCAACTCCAAGTTTTTAAGCCTCTCCAAGCTTGTTTCTGATAACAGTTTATCCATCTCCTCATTATCAAATGGTCATCCAAGAAATGCAGCTAGCTTTTTCACCTCTTGTTTCGGATCTTTCTTAATATCTTCAAATGTCAAGAATAGTATCTTCTGTGGCATCTTCAAACTGTCAGACCAATACTCCGTTATAAAAGGCGTCATAATCTTTTCCAAAAGAATATGGCTCTTTCATGCGATCATGTCGACCGTAAAATTTGTTGAAGAAGTGCCAGGATGACACAAATGGGTTCTTCAGGTTTCTTATGTGAACAATTTTGCAGTCTTGAGTTCTTAATCAAATCAGGCTAGGCACTGTCAGTAAGGCACGTGAATGTGAAACAGTGTAGGAGACGGCATATCTGAAAGATCATCAAATTATCAGAATTGATCAAAACAATAATACGAAACTCTATTAAGAAAACAAACATACCTGAGAGATTAGGGAGTGTTTCTCTGTATATTTGATATTCCAAGGCTCCGATATGTTCAATAAATTTGATTCTAAAAAGTCTTTACACAAAAGCATAATCACCGTTGATTTGGGCCATTTGCCTTTTGTTATGCAAACAAGAAGGGTGCTTCATAAATAATCAAGTGATAGAAAGACCAACTTTGGAACCCAATGTGATGCATTTTCTAGGGCGTTCTCTCTCTCATTGTGGATTACAATATTCTTGTTTGAATGACAATAACTTGGGCAATAAACTACCTTTAGCCAATTTGGCGGTTTACTTAAGACTTTTAAGTATATTACTTAAGATATCTTGAGTTCGAATCCTCATAACTATTAATAAGGGACACTAGAGGCTTATCTAACCATTAACTTCTGGTTCCCGAAAAACTAGTTGAGATACACGCAAACTGGTCTGGACACTTTCGGATAACAAAAATGATAATAATAATAATAAAATAACTTGGGCAATAGTTGGATTAGAATTTGACTTATTCCTAACTTTGTGATGGCAATTGCCCTTCACAGTGTCCATTTATTAATCATATTCTACCTCACATCAATGGCCACACCACAGTACCACCTCATGCTTTTCTTCTTCTTTAAACCAAATATAATGCCACCAATCTTTCATCATTACCTTCATCCATACTTTCAATTTCACTCATTTCTCTTTCTTTTATTATCTATCTCTCAATTCACTTTGTTTCCAGCTTCCCTTCAATGTATATTTCCCTTTACTATCACGTCTAACATCATTTCTCCCAAATAATTCAAAAATGTATTATGGACTCAATGTGTAAATAATTCACAATATGGTAAATTATGCCGCCATCCCTTGAGATTTGGCGTAAGTATTCCCCTTCCCTAGTTAGAGGAAGCTAACACTGCTACCCCAAATACAAGTTCTATTAGTTAAATAAAATGGTACATTCGAGAAATACGACTGTTGATGTAGTTTTTACACCAACGAAAAGTACGTAACCGGTATTTTAATGCTAGGTTAATACGAAGATAATAAGCAAACACAAAGAACAAAAAGTTTTTAGTAGTTCGAATGTAAGACGCAAATCTTATGTTCACTGTTATTTTATTACTTTGCTTTTGTGTTTTTCACGTATAAGTGAACTCAGCTCTTAGCACAAATAAGACGGTTTTGAATAGCAAAAAAAAAAAAGGGTCAAAAGATCTTCCATTAGGGTGGGAGATCAATTCATATATCGTTACAAAGATACACTTGTAAGTGAAGTAAACCTCACATAAGATGACACGTAGTTTGACTGACAATACATCCTTGAAACTTACCAATGAAGTATTATTTGATAGACTTACAAAGTAAAACAATCCTCTTATAAAGTGACACGCAACCTAGATGATAACACAATCTTGAAACACGTAGCACGAATCCACACTAAATGAATTGACCACATAAAAACGACCATACAAAACTAGTTAGTTATTTATTCAAAATGACTGATCATTTCGACTAAAACAAAGAACCATGTGGTTTAAATTATGCTTCTACCTTTTGCAGAAACACTATTTAGAGATAACATGGGAGAGGAAAAGCGTTTTCATGTCAAACCTCAAGGTTGGCATTGTAACAAACCCATTATATAATAATATGTTT